ATATTTCTCCGCGGTAGCCAGGTCCGATGCAACCTGCTTAGGACGAGAGTTAGAAGCGCTCGGCATGGTCATGGTGGCCAGACGGTCTTATGTCGTGGAAACTGTGGCCAACCGGAGAGTTTGGTGCATATTTTGCAATCCTGCTGGATTACGCATGATGCCAGGTGTGCTCGTCATAATCGGGTTGCAAGGGAACTTGCAAAACGTCTCCGTCGACTGGGGTACACCGTCTTCGATGAGTTGAGAGCCCTTACTTCTACGTCGTTCATCAAACCCGACCTAATCGCTGTTTGAGATCGCCGTGCAACTATAATAGACGTCAGCATAGTCTCGGATGGGCGTGGAGTGATAGTGTGGAATGAGAAGAAGCAGAAGTATGGTGCTGATGAACATTCCCTCGCCATAATCTCAGCCCTACATGCCATCGGTTGTGATATCGACTTTTTGGTTCACCAACCGATGATCATCTCTTATCGAAGGATCTGCTTTCCTCAATCCGCTAAGGCTGTTATTGGACTGGGACTTCCTAAGGTCGCAGTCAGTGACTTGTGTTTGCTTGCCATTGTGGGCTCCCTGCGTACTTATGACACTTTTATGCGTGGCACATGGCGTTGAAGGTACATTTTTGCCATTTAATCTCACACCAGACCCAGTATGACGGTCACTTTTTGCCTGATGTGCGAGTCTTGACTGTGCTAGCGCACACTGCGCCTTGAAGAGCATTCACCATTGTTTGTCCTTTCTTTGGTTGTTGGTCCTTAGACGCGTGTTCCCATTCCAAAATCTTTACATACTTTGGGATTCACCTCATCAGACTGGCACTGTCCTTGGCATGATTTCGAATGAGACGTTTCTCTCTTTTCTCCCACATTCTCCTGTTACTCTTTCGCATTCATAGCTTGCACTCACTTTTTATGTTTGTGACCATGCTCTTCAAAAATAAATGATAATAGATATGATCCCGTCCTTGGCGGGCTAACTGGTGCCGTCTCAGCGTCGTATGACCTGAAGATAGCTCAGCCACTGGCGAAGAAGTCAATGGTTTGGATTCAAGTAGCTTTTGACTGCTACTGGCAATGCTTGAAAAACCTGGCAGCATCTTTCTATTTGTGCCTCCTCTATTTCGCACTATAGATATGCACATTAGCTATAACCCTTCCATATTAGAGAACTGGTTGAATCCTCCAACAGACGATGGGCTGACCCTTCTGTTAGTACGAAACTTCAATCTGACCCCACTGAATTTTAGATTTTCACAAAATTTAATCAAGCCAGTATAAAATGCATGTTCGAGAAACTAATGAGTCTCCGAAGTGACTGATTCAAAAACAGGGATATGCCCAAGGTGCTCATGCTCTCTCAGTGGACACGTGACAAATAAAAGCATCCTGAAATTGAAAAACCCCGGTCGATAGTTTCCTCGGATTTTTGAGTTCTCCCTTGGAAAATCAACGCCGTCGCCAAAATATCATTTTCTAGTGTGCCTCGCCAGAAACAAACAGATACAGAATGTGGAATAACGATTTTTCACCCTTCCATTTGATACCATATCAAGTGAATTATGTGAGCCCTGCACCATGTAACACTAAAGCTTGGGACAGGACAAACTACTGTCAGCACTTTCTTTTGAAGCACCCGCTTTTGGTATTCTTCAAAATGGGGCGGAGAATCATAGTGGAAAGCAAAGAGACTTGGGATTGGTCTGTCACCCGCGTTCCGGGATGCCGGTAACACCACTGCAAAATACCATACATAAAATTTACTAAGGATGACCCTGATGACCCTGAGTTATGCGGCCACCAAATCACAGGAAATTCACTGGAGCCCCTGAATGGCGAATACATGAGCAGCAACTGGACTTTACTTGCCCCTTCTCCCAAGTTGACTGTGTCTTCATCCTCATTTTCTACACTTATTGGCGGAAAATGCACAGGCATACATAGAAGCATGGATCAAATTTTGCTAAGGTGTCTTGCTGAATGTTGTCCGTAACTGTCCGTCACCTCTCACAGAACCAAACACACACCATCTCATCACTCTGTTCCCAACCCCCAGATTATGAGAGATCTGCACTTTAAGATCTCTGAAAGTAATTCTGAGGAGGTAACTATCTTTACTATTTGGAGTAAGTTACATTTATAATCACGTAAGATGTATTGGATAAAAATTTGTGTACAGTGGTGAGGTCCTAGGAAAATCTTTTATTACCTGATTTTGCAAGAGAAGCACCTATAGAGAGCAGCTGAAGAACTCAGGATCTATGTAATTTCATTGCATTTCTGACACGGATATTGCACTGTTTCAATAGCGGGTGTAGAAAAACCACTCTCCTCTAGAAATAACACATCGTGAGTGCCAAGCAAAAAGTGGGTGTAACGACAGCGTGCAACCCAGAGCATCAGAAATAAGGTTGATTTGTGATGGCGCTTCTGGGTTATAATTTCGCCCATTCGGGGGACAAAAGAGCAAGCAAGGTGTCGCGATAAGCACCAGAGGTTTCACTCCTAATCTTTATTGAGAGGGGTTTTCCATAACGCTGTTTGAATGCATCCGAAACTGTACCCAAATCCAGCTGTGAGAAATCAAGATAGAAATCGATTTTGAATGGATAAACTTGGGATGCATTCAAAACACCTCGGACAAACAGTTAAAAATGGTTTTTCAAAAGTATGTGTTGATACGAAATCGTAGGTTGCGCAAAAAGTGACAATTCAGTTACGCTAAAATTTTAAGAAGGACGATGAAAAGTTGAAGAATACACCTCGTTTTTGGATTCACACTAGCTGAAGTCCTTGTCTTACAGTGCACCAAAGTGATCGTTTTTCACGTTGATTCTTACTTGTACGCCCTTTTTACTATCCTGGCGACTGAAACAGTCACAACACTGGTAGTGTGAGGAACATGAAAACTTGCGTCCTCATAAGCTTCCCCAGATTTTGGAACCAACCGAAATCTGGTCAATCGTGGGCAAAATGCGACCTGAGGACTCCACTATTGATGCAGCATCATTTGAATCGTAATCGAGTCTGGATGACCGATTTTGGTAGACTATTCCGGGCGTTGGCTACTGAATCCTACTGAGTAGTTCCCAAGTGACCGCAAGCAACACACACAGTCATTATCTCACTGGTTCAGCATAGACCCACCGCCAAACCAGGACTGGAACTCCGGTTGTTTTCGCCATTTCTTGTCGTCTTTTCTCCAACACGTTTGAATACTGTCCATAGGTGGTCTCTGAGAACTAGCCCCCCCACACACACACACACAAATAGTTATCTTAGTGTTTTGAGGGAATGTAGATTTTGAAGGTATCAGTTCTGGTAGACTGAAACCCCTACAAACGTCCGGAGCATACCTCCTGAAAGACTGTACTTTGTCCGATAGAGCCTACTCTTTTTTGTGGTGACATCTCCATGAAATAAATCGTGCAGCAATGAGGTTCTCGTTCATAAAATTGCCATTCGTAATCAGGATATGCTTTAGATCATAGAAAGGAGTAGGTTCGTAAAACACTCAAGTTCTTTAGTGTTTTGAGGGAATGTAGATTTTGAAGGTATCAGTTCTGGTAGACTGAAACCCCTACAAACGTCCGGAGCATACCTCCTGAAAGACTGTACTTTGTCCGATAGAGCCTACTCTTTTTTGTGGTGACATCTCCATGAAATAAATCGTGCAGCAATGAGGTTCTCGTTCATAAAATTGCCATTCGTAATCAGGATATGCTTTAGATCATAGAAAGGAGTAGGTTCGTAAAACACTCAAGTTCTTGACTTCTTTCTGCGTGATGAATTTTCTTCTTTCAGATCCATGATGATTAACTAAGCTTCAAATCGGAAAACAATGTACCATTATTTCCTACTTACTACCAGAGGAATTTCGCCAACTCACAAAATTCAACCAAGGTATCCTCCCACATGAACCATTTCAGTGGATATGCCTGCATTATCAAAATGACTTTCATTTTCGCTGTGTATCATTCTGTTGCGAGCATAGGTGATATGGAACACTTGACACACACGTGGTTGAGATACATTCGTAATTTCTGGATCGAATTCACGCGCAGTCACACCGAACAGAGCAAAAAACTAGGTTTACAAAATAGAAGCTGTCTGCTGCAAACAAAAATTGCAATTACTTTAGAAGATCACAAAATGTATTGATTACCTTGACATTCGAAAGCGGAAATGCCTTTATTCCACAAAGTGTAAAATCATAAAGGAATATTTTGTGAATCTGGATATTTTGTGTCGTTTAGGCGATCTGCTGCACCTCACCGTCAGTTTAACCCAATAGGAGTCGTTCTTTCTTATCAATTTTTACTTGATCTATAAGCTGTTTAACACATACTACCTTTTGCGACTACATATGCAACAACAGCGATATCCAATGAGTTTGCGAGCTGTTTGTAATAAAAAAATGCAAGAACTTAGAAAAAAGAAGGAACGTAGACCTCGTGGCTCAACAGCAGTTGCAAGAGCAAGAAGGGTGACTCCAGTTGAATAGAAACACCTCTACTGGAGGATTGGCAATTCGAAAGCCGGCAATCGAAAGCCAAACAATACTTAAAATTTGACTATTCATCAAAATCATCTCAAGTGGAATCTGAAATGGAAACAAGTTACGCGACAATTTTCGTCTTCAAAATACCCCAGAAAACAAATTCGTTCTTAGGTACAGAGGGCGAAGCTTTTTTCAGAAAAACGAGTGACATATACAGAATTTTTGCAGCATTTAAAAAGCTACAAGTTTGTATGAGACTAAATATCTTTTCATATCTCGTCATAAGCAATACGCACGAGAATGCTAATGCCAGTCCATTCTGGTGCGATAAGCGCGCCACATATATGGACGAACATCAAATATCTAACACAAATTCACTTACTTCTGAACGCGTGATGAGAAGTCTCATCAAAGCATAGTCTTTGGTACCCAGCCCTGCCATGGCGTCGTGGAGCCACTCCGCTAATAGGTTTGCCCGATCCGTTGCATACCGAACTGTACAAAAAATAAATAGGAATGATTTGTTTTCGAATTTGTTTGCGTTAGAAGCCTCATTTAGGCGTCTGAGGCTCATCTAGATTGTTTGTGAGTTTCAAAACAATTTCTATGAACAGGATTACCAAATACATGCATCACTTGTAGTTTTTTCCACGTTCTTGCATGGCGCAAGCCAAACTAAGTACTTTACAGTCAGGTACTTTACAGTGACTCTCAAAATGCTGATGGATACATCGTACTAGGAGAAATTGGTTTGTATTCCGTCAAAGTAGTCATTGTTGAAAAGCCTCAAACCACACCTCACACAAAACGAGAGATCGTGTTGAAACGCAGTTTACTAATCTTGACGGCGGATGGTTACGAAGACTGATCGGAGTCTGGGTTATACATATCTAGTGTTCTCCTCTCAGGACTCGAGTAGCGCAAGCACGTGAAAAATGCCGGGGTTCGGTTACGCAATATTTACGGATTAAATCACACAAGAAGTAGAAGCAGAGGGTCACCATAATCTTGCGCAATTTTCCCACGAATAGGAGAAGTGCTAGATTTGGACAAACCATGATGATATCCAGCGGCAATCAACTTCATGCAATCGAAGTCAGTTGAGGATCGTGTGGGATGAAAACAAGGGCGTTCAAGTCAAGGGAATGGATTAGGTATTATTTCCGTTCTCAGTTACGAATGATTTTGGATCTACGTACGCGTGCGAGGTTGAACAGAGTAGAAAAGATAATCTATAGATTTGGGGCAACGATACACTCAGTTGGGCTAAAGGAAATTTGCTGCTTGCCACTAAATATTTGCTCCAGACGGACGGGGGTAGAAAGGAAATACGCTTCAAGAAAATTGCTACGAAAGTCAAAATAAAGAGGGAACACAGCACAACCAGAGTTTGCGTTTGGTGTGCTTGGTATTTGGGATGTGGTTAGCTGTAACGCAGACATCGGCATTGTTTGCTGTTTAGCCCTCATCAGACTGATATTCAACTTGAACATAAATCGGCAACTCAGTTGACAAGTACAAAGCTTCGTAATCCAATGAAGTGAAGCCGAAGTTAATAGGACATCACTGGCTATTAAGGTTTACACACGCGCAATCGTCACGCCATATGCTATGGCACATTCTTAGCTGACCAGGAGAAGGATATCGGTGTGGTTTTTGAGAGTTTGTTGAAAAAAACTCGAGGACTTTGGCATTTTGTGAATTTGGAATTATCGATTCATGTCTACAAAATAGGAAAATCACCAAGTGGAATGAAGTTGGCTTCCAGGAACTGGACAGGGATCACGCTCAAAAAGCGAAGCTTTCAAACGAATAACAACTTTATAGGGTGGGAAGAAGACACCATAAACGCTGCCAGCATCGTCGATAGAGCATTAGATCAAAATTTGAAAAAAACCTTCAGGAACTAAGAAATTCTTTGTGTAAGAAAAATCTTAGGAATTCATTTTTCCATACTCACTGAGTGCAATAATGAGAGCACGGTAGTCCCCGCTTAGCTCAGAGTTCATATCATCCAGTAATGGCTTTCCGAACATCTTGCGGGAAAAAAGACAAAATGTAAAATTATTTATTGTTCTGTGAATTCATATAAAAATACTTTCCAATGAAAAAAATTTCAACAGGTTTCCTACCGAAAATGGATGTTAATTCTGGCCCTGACTACGCACCTGAATCATCGACCATAAAATACAGATGGAGAAAATAACGATGCCATCGTGAATAGAATTAACAAGGTGAGTTGGAATATCATACGTTTATGGGAGACCAAAAAGATTATAAATAAAGTAATATTGGCCCACAGAAACCGAATAGTCTCCAGACGGTTATCTCATTTCCGTGGAAGCAAAAGATAATACATAGCCTAGAGGAATGAAATGCATTTTCATGCTTGTCTGATGTGGTGTCTGAGTTATGACAAGGCTGAGTATTGGCCATCAAAAGTTTGGAAATGCTGTTTACTTGAATCTGTCAGACAACTTCGGTTGCCCTTTTCAGTGAATTATTCACTCTACGAAAAGCAGCTCACAAGAATGTGCACCATAGCCTTGGATACCGTTCAGCTCCGCTAGTTTCACATTTAATTTATTGAGATGGCTTTAAATTCAGCCGATTGATCGCCTGATCGAAGAGAGCTAGACTTAGTATCAGTGCGGTCGCAAGTCGACCGCGAATGAAAGAAGGACTGCAGCAGCCGTTTGGATCAAGAAGCGCCGTTAGATTCAGTGCTACTTATCTTGACGTCAGTCTCCTGTTTTCTCTGTCAAAGACCACACTATGACATCATTGAGACGAAAAGGAACTCTTTATTGATCAAATGGACTAACGGAAATATTGTTGAGATGACAGCAAGGAAGAGAAGGTTGACTCCGTTCTAGAAGTTTCTGTGTATAGTTGAGCATGTAAACTACCGCTAAGCAAAAGCATTCACAGATACCGAACCCTTGGTTCTGCCACTCAGTGGTTCTTGGAGAACACGCGATGATACACACACTCCTCTCTCTTAAAAACTAGTTTCCAGTCAATGCGTAGCACTTTCCATGCATTAGTAGCAGTTTTCGTGGGAAAAAAGGGTAATGATTTATTTGTCACAGAGGAGGTCACACTTTGGCTAAATCCTGTCCAATCATGTTCATTCCCAGGAAGCTTTCCTCAGTGGATAGAAAACCGGGACTATTAAACCAGAAGTATTCATCACTTTCATCTACACAGACACCGGCTTCGTGTTTGGCTCTGACCATTATTCCGGCAGTACTTCGTTATTTGTATATGTGGAATATGTACAGAACCTCAGAGCAGACCTATTTAGTATATTCAAAGTTGCACTACGTGGGGTTCTTTTTAAGGAAGGCTGTTCCCTCTAATTTATCAAAGTCAGCAAATGAAAACTTCTGGAGCATTTCAACGCTAGATTCATCAAAGTCTATAAGCAACAAATTCAGGAGCAAAGGAAGAAGTATCTTACAAAATTGACTTCCTGACTGGGTAGTCCCATCTAAAGGCCTACCGAAGACATTCACTCATCTACTGGAGATGGAGAACAACATTGTACGAAGGCTCAAAACCCTTACAAAATACCTCTGGCCAGAAGATCCGACCGAAATCGCTGAAGGAAAATAGAGCCTAAAGTAGTCTGAAACTTATAAATATGATCAACTTTTTCTCACAGATTTTCTCATACTACTTACAAAACTTTCACATAAACCTTTGATCGGACAATCGCCACTGACCTGATTGACGCACAATCCACACAAGACAGTCCTGGTTATTTTTCGGAGAAATCAGAGGATAAATCAATATGTACCCGTTTTCTGTCTATCCAACACCTTTGGATTCGCCATGTGTTGAATCTGATGCCGAGGGCTGGGGATTTTACGAAAACATTTCAACGGCCAATATAGGGGCATGCCACTTTCTTAAAAGCCATATAATGTGGATCATAAAAGAACACCACCGTAGAATATCTCAAGGTGCTGTATTGAAATTTCGAGTCTGTGTGTATTTACCAGCATCAGTTGGAAACATGTCACCGACTATCAATTTGTGATTGGAAAGGTTGATAGGTCTCATCGACTTGTAAGAAAATCTCTCTTGAGGAATTGCTGAACGCATGACGCTATTTTTGCGATAACTACATCTCACGAACAAACAGCCTAATAAAACTCGCTTTCTGTGAAAAAATTGTATTATTAGGATCCACTGGATTCTTTACCAGCTAGTGTTCACAACAGGCATGGTATCAGCATCGCAACAGCTGTAACACCCTTTGGGTGCCTAGCTGCCATGCCAGCCGAAGGAAGAATGAGGGCTGAGGCACCGCCAGGTTAACCAAGCCTAGACAGGGGAAGTCTAGAAGCAGATGTCGAGTTCGAACCACGAAACTTCCGGTCAGTAAATTCGCGCTCTTAACCAGTGGGCTATCTCGCCCCCACAATTGGCATGGAAAATGGTACAATGTCGATAAAAAGTAGCTCGAGGTTGGAATACGTTTTATCCATCGCTAATCAATAGTGACACGGCTTCTGTCACAAGAGGATCTTTAGTGCTGTTATAAAAAACTTGGTGTTTCGACGGACGTACCCTCTGGTAGGCTTCTGCATCCGCTGCAAGTTGGAATGTCGTGCGTCCAGTGATTATCCTTGTAATTCGTTTTTCGCTGGTCCCCACTCGTCTATGTAAAAGAACACAGAATAGTAACTCGGTTACTCCAGATTTTCGCACCAAAGTTGTGAGCATCAGGTAGTAACGTAGTCGGCCGCAGTTTTAATGAGGTACCCATATGGTACCTATATCAGTTCATTCGGATTGAAAAGGGTCGCAAGCTTACAAAATAATTAGTTTTTGGTATTCCACTTGAGAGAACTAAACCATCTTGGGCTAATCTGAACTAACCTACAACCTCCGCCAAAACTGTAATGAGATTTTTTTGCTGAATCAGTTGAATTCCTAACACAATGAGTGACCACCCTGAGTCAGTTTGGAGATTAAATATATCGGCGGATTTAGTTGGGGAAGACAGATGTCTTTTCCTTCATTACAAATACATCAACTATCCACAATTAATGATAGTAGTGTGTGGTATCTGTCGATTTTCAGTCGAGATATTGCCCTTTAATTGAAACCAACTTATGCTGAAAACCCAAGAGGCACTCTACGTGCATTTCATGCTTACTCGAAATCATCGGCAGTGAGCATATAAAAAAACTCACTTGTAAACCGGCGATCATTAGGAGGTAGTTCAGTGCCTAATTATTCAGTGGCAAATAGCTAAACAACAGTGATAAGCTCTTACGTAGACAGGATATGGCGCCATCTAGCTACAGTCACGTGGTCACATATTGACTGGTTCCTCGATTGATGACTTCTCAGATCTTGTGAAAGTTTTGAAAAGTTGGTTGCCGTTGTTGTGGTATCAGTTGGCGTCGGAGACTTACTAGATGCTACGTAGTTAACAATCTACTAACGATCAGTTTAGTGTGTTTCGACCTTTTGACGTTGAGCTGGTTGATCATACCATCTTATTTCATTGACGCATGCATCACTTTTTTATGCGTGCGTGGAATAGCTGAGGATAATGTCAAATCAATAAATAGAAGACCAAAATCTACATGCTATACATGGTCAGTGTTATGCAAGAGACGACAAACACAGATACGCCTAATGAACAATAGTGAATAACAATATTATTGGCATGGTTTGATGTTTTTCTGTTTTTTTTTTGTAACTTCTGCTATTTACTCACGATGCGCCGGCAGCCAAAAGCTCTTTAGCATCCACTTCAGCGAGTTCTTTATTCACGACTGTTGCGACACCCTTTTCTGGAACTGCTTTGAGTTGCAGCACCGGCAAGTCATCCCGTTGACCTTGTGCTAGGATACTTAGAGCATACTGGAAATGATTGCTTGTGTCACTCGTCAAATCAGACAGTAGCGTGCGATCCGGTCCTAAAGGGGTGAATGGAACAAATTATAAAAAATTCAAAAAAATTCCACCTTGCACACAAGGAGAAAGGCTCTGAGACTTATTTTTCTTCAATGGGTCTCTACTTTTTTTTCACGCATCTTAAGTGGCACATTTTCTCTTAGACTAACTACGGAAACCATCAGGATCTTAACCATTGACTTCAAGCTGAAGTTGTCTCTATTGGTTTTATTGTATAGGTATGTGGAAGAAAGTATTCAGAGCATCGCGTCTTCCTTGTTCTCCTCGGGAGAACAGACAGATGCGATGTTTCGAAAATTGTCTCTGCTCTTTTCAGTCGTGCAATAAAACAGACGAGTATCATAAATAGAGGGTGAAAACATTGTTGAACGGAAAATGACTGGTTGCTTCCTGTAAGTCGCTTGCTCATTGCCAGGGCAATCAAATCACTTGCTGTAACTGTTTTTTTTACACATAACCGGTGCTGGTTTGATTCACTCTGGGCTTGGGTTGCGCAAAACGATTCCGAAAGAGCCAAGTAGATCAACCACATGGACAGCATTAGACAGGTGTCTAGCTGCTGATCATACGGGATGGAGAATTGACCTTTGACCGAAAGAGTGACATGACACCCGTAACCTACGTTGGAATGCCTTCTGGTGCATCTTCCACTATACCTCTGTTTTAGGCACCTCCACCACTAATTTATACTAGATGGCCTCCTACGGTCAACTGCTTTCAGAGCGGATTCTCTGGTAGTCGGCATCAGACTCGGCTGGACTGTAGTATAAATATACTTTTAAGTAGAAATAATGTTACGCCTGGGTCGCCTTTTAACTGAGGGAATAAGGATACGGCTTAACGGAAAGCACTTCACATAAGGTTGCTGAAAAGATTGCTGAAAAGGTTGATAGCCCACGTACGGTCATGTACTTCCATTTTGTGTTCATTAGCTAGACACAGTCACCGAGCCCCTGTTATCCCAATGTTTTACTCGACCCATATTTTACGTAATTCGCAAAGTTCACACACTCATTTGGGTTGAATGAAAGACTTAAGTGAATTTCAGTTTAGTCCCTTTTATCTGATGTTCCTCAACTGCATGTGCAGCCAAAAAGTCTCATTATGTTTCAGTTGGGATGACATGAAAGTTTGCAGTCTACTTCAAAGGACATGCCACTCATAAGGTTCCACCATGGAAATATACTGCGACGTCTCGAACGTCGTACTAACGGTAACATGATGCGGCCTTTGCTCGTCACATATAGTTGAAAAATATCAAGATGACAGGTTCCGCTTGGGCTCCGCTGAGTTTCCTATTAAAAACAAATTAGTTTGCAAGCGAGTGTATTCTGTGAATTAGGCCTTTTTCTTACGGGTTGATTGAACTGAGGTGCTCATGTTCCCACTCTAGGCAACCGTGTTCTGCACAGTTTTCTTTAAAAAATGTCCTTATTGTTCTGGTGGATTCAGGCCGCATAGTCCACTAACCCTTTACTAATCCGAGCTTATGTGGCGATTGAAGTATAAGTGGTAACCAGTGTATGTGTTTTTGCGGTAAGTGAAACGTTACAGGACCCTAAATAAATGGCCGAAAAACGTGAGCTGTCATTTCATTCAAACTTTAATGAACTCATGAAGAAATACTGCAAGTGTCGTACGTTTGCAAACACCAAGATCTATGTAGACGTCGACGAGTGATCAACGAGGAAAGTTGTCGGTTCCGATCATTCATAGTTCTATTCAAAATGTTGACAGGGTGTAAAACAAGGTGTAAACCGGGAAACTTACGATCAACTTTCTCGTGTTCGAGCACTGAGGGAATAGAAGTTTGAAGGAGACATTTAACATACTATCACAGATGAGGCTAAGAAACGTTCCCAAAAGTGTAGTTACTTGGCTTTCAAGAATAGATGATAGTGCTAGCTAGGTTGATCAGATAACTAATAGGGCAGTGTAAATTCAGACAGTGTATGATTATTTTTAAAGTAACAGAGCTATTACCAGCTTTGCAATTGATCACTGGCTAAATGAAAATTTCCAAATTTTACTGTGACTGCTTCATTATTGAGTCGCATTGATTGGGATTCGCAGGGCTTGAGTATTGCACTCGACGGTAAGTAGTCTCAAGAAAATAGTCACCCAGTGCACAAACCACTGGGTGGGTAGATAGGTTATGAAAACCGGCACAGGGGCATCAGCATATGCAGTAAGTAGGAGGAGTGGCAAACGTGGATGTCCTTTTTTGAATGTGAGTAGTCCTGAACCTTACACCTCATGTCCGAGAGGTCTTGCTTCTATCAAGGGGCGACTGCAGTGGTTATTTCACCAGGTATGGCAATCAAGTGCTGCTCGTATTAAGCCCAACTCCAGTGTGGGTTTTAAGTTGCCTTCAACTGAAATAGGGATGCGTCTCCTCAGTAGTCTGTCTGCACAGGCACAGGGTGCCTGTATTACTTGCTGAAAATGTATTGTAATATTAGTGTGTGATATATTACCAAGAGGGCTAGGTTCGTTACTTCCGAACAGCGTCCGGAGTTCACCGTAAAACACAGGATGTTACACAGTGAGTTTGTTAGAAGAAAAATCCGATCACTTTTTACGGAAGAAGATAAGTCTCCTTCTTTTACCGAAAATTCGCATTGCTTCATCTGGTAACATCGCTACCTAATTTTCACTACTTTCAACATAACACAGTGCTTCTGACCATAGCGTATTATGCAGTACATAGATTGATGTTAGGTCACCCGAACGTCAGGTCCATCGCTGTGAACTGGATAATTAGCCATTCAAGTGACCGTGGTGCACAAACCAAAGTTGCTTCCCACCAGTACCGAACATAACGTTCGTAATCTTTCCGGATCAAACTCAAACTAAGGCCAACTGAAATCATTCGCAGCTAACTGGTTCAAGAAATTCGCTACTCCAAGCTTCAGTATTACTCTCCTTTTCCTCAGAACCTTCGTAACCGAAGAGTTTGAAGACATACTAACAGAAAGGTTGACAAGTCGATAATTGTGTAAACAGATTACACACTGGAAAATGTTTGGGACCGATTGGGAAGAAGAAATTCGTCCAAGCTTCAGTATTACTCTCCTTTTCCTCAGAACCTTCGTAACCGAAGAGTTTGAAGACATACTAACAGAAAGGTTGATTGACAGATAATTGTGTAAACAGATTACACACTGGAAAATGTTTGGGACCGATTGGGAAGTCATCGTTTCAGAGGGGTTTGGTAAACAAGCAGTGGATTTATTGCTGGGCAACGTTTCGCTTTTGACACAAGAGCTTCGTCAGGCCAAGTGAGTAAGTAAGTAGGTTGATTGGGTTTTAAGGCAGTCAGGGAACCAATCCGTTCCAAACATTGCACCAGCTGAGCGAAGGGCCTTAAACACGTTAAAAAATGTAGACAGCATAGTAATTACAAAGGCAGATAAAGGTAAGGCCACGGTCATCATGAATAAGAGTGACTATCTTCATAAAGTTAGACAACACATAGCTGATGGTCCCTACCGACAAATTAGTAACGGAAAGATCACGTCAATTATGAGTAAGAGTAAAGTTGAAGTTGGGAGGTATCTAAGATCTGTGATAAACCATCTGGGGCAAGGCAAGTGGTATCGATTGTACCCAAAAAGTGCAATCCAACCACGACTGTACGGGTTACCGAAGATTCACAAGGAAGGTGTCCCCATAAGACCAATAGTGGATGGCATAGGTTCACCACCACATGAGCTGGCCAGATATCTAGCAGGTATCCTTAAACCGCTTGCCGGCAAGTCACCGACACACATTCAAGATTCGTATGACTTTGCCAAAAAATTAGATGGGTTTCAGATAGGGCCAGACGAAGTCCTGGATAGTTTTGACGTCAATTCGATGTATACCAACGTCCCTAAAGCGGACGCTGTGGAAGTAGCGAGAAGACTTTTACTGGCAGACACAGCGCTGCAAGAACGAACGCAACTCTCCGTAGACGAGATAGTTGAAGGCATAAAGGTATGCCTAAACCTCAGTCAATTTGTTTTTGACTCAATTATATACTCTCAAGAACAAGGTTTAGCGATGGGATCACCAATATCCCCGATTTTGGCCAACATGTACATGGAAGACTTCGAACAGAAAGCTTTAAACGGATTCGAGTGTCCACCAAGGGTGTTCTGGCGTTACGTAGATGACACGTTCGTTGTAATAAAGCGGGATAAGGTGAACGAATTCTTTCAACATCTGAACACATTGGACCCTCACATTAAGTTTAGCATGGAGCTAGAGTCCACATCGGGTACACTAGCTTTCCTTGACTGCATGACACACAAGAGTGGTGGGAAATTAAAAACCACTGTATACCGGAAATCAACAGATAGTGGTGCGGTCTTAGACTACTCCTCTGCACATCCAAAAGCAGTATATGCTAGCATAGCCTCAGCGATGTTTAGGAGAGTGAGAGCACTGTGTACAGAGGAGGTCGACCGAAGAGCAGCACAGCTCGAGGTAAAAAACCTACTTCAAGATGGCGGATACCCAGTGGGTTTAATTAAGCGACAACTAAGACGGGTATTGGTGCCAACACCAAGGCCCAACAAGGAGTGGATCGGAACAGCGGTCATTCCATACAAAACAGGGACATCTGAAGTCATTAGAAGGGTACTGAATACGGCTAACATTAGAGTAGCTTTCCAGAAGGGGAAAACTTTACGCTCGGTGTTGGTGCATTTGAAGGATCGCCTTCCGGTTGATAGGACTAGGAACTGTGTATACAAAATAAAATGTAACGACTGTACGAAGGTTTATATAGGTCAGACAGCCAGGGAATTGCACACCAGAATCGGTGAGCATAAGCGTTCCATTAACAAACCACCGAGAAACGCAGAGGAATACCAAGCGTTAGTCAAAGATTCAGCAATGGCAGGGCATGCTCTAGACACTGGGCATAAGATAGATTTAGAAAATGTGGACATCCTGAGACGGGGTTTAAGATTCACACCACAGCGACTGGTGGCCGAGGCGGTGGAAATCGCCAAGC